AGAGCGTTGTGATGTGACCCTATTTTGAATGCTAGCATTTGGATTTTCTTTGGATTTTGAAGTGATTCAGAAAGCTGCAATTTGATTTACCTCTTTTTTTTTTTTTTTCCCCCCTAGGATATTCGAAACTTGCGATTTGCTCATAAGCCTGAAGGGAGAACTAGACGATCCATATTTGAGAATCTAATGAAATATGCTTTCCCAGTTTCAAATAACCTGGTAAATATTTTCTTTCTGGTTTTTACAAAAGACACAGGGTGGCAGCAAGCTGTTTTGTTCAGTCGCGTCAGCTTATAAAGTTTCATATGGGGTGTGTTTTGTTAAAGGGAGAGAACTGCTGTTTTCTAAATCTGTTTTAAAATTAATTCTGTAGGAGTTTAGATTGTATAGAAAACAGAAGGCTACTACCATGGGACTGGATGTCTTCATGCATGGAGAATGACTTACTGATACCCCCTTGTAACAGAGGGAAAATATTCAAAGCACAATGGCATCCATCAGTTTAGATCTAGTGGTGACTACACTGCCTCAGATCTGGAATGCAGTTTGGCTTCTCTGTCATGTTATGACACTGCAGTTGCAACTGCATTCAAATACTGGCTGGAAGGATCTAGGTCTTAATATGTAAGAGTGTTCTTGCCCATGTAATATTTCCTGTCTCTGTTATCAAACTCCTTTGGTCTGTGAAGTAGGAGATAATAGACAAGATCAGGGGTATAGGAGAAAGTGCATTGTTGTACTAATTGCCTGCTGTAGCGAGCATGTTAATCTTTTTCACAAAAGCCTGGAAGAAAAGTAGTGACAAAAACTAAGGACCTGTCATGAGTTGCTATGTGAGATATCAAACAACCTGGCAATGGGCTCTAAGTGGGCTCCTTAACAGTAAATTTTCTTTCTTTCAGCCACTTTTTGCATTTGAGTACAAAGAAGTTTTCCCAGAAAATGGATGGAAGGTGTATGACCCCACTTGGGAGTACAGAAGACAGGTGGGTATCATGCTGTGTCCTTCTACATCCTCTCAGCGTTTCATAAGCGAGGCTCTGCACAGTAATATAATTACAGGTTGCATGGGATGGGAAATGATCCTGCTGACAAATGTCATGGAGGCTGGGTTGGGTTATTCTTCTCCACGCTGCAGTGACTGATGACAGCAGTAGAGCTTTACAGAGATAGTGAATCCACTGATGGAGGTTACTCAGGCTGCAGAGAGCTGACCGGAGGCTTTGGTAGAAAAAACTGCTGCTCTGACTCAATCGTCAGCCACAGCTGGCAGTGAGGAACGAAGGATGTGTTTTGGAGGTACAGGCATCCCACTATTGAGTTTCACACCTCAGCTCTTGCTTATGTCAATTTTAATTCTTTTCATTTTTTTCCTGTCTCAAACAGGAACTTGGAAGATAAAAGAAAAAATAGAATGCCTTTATTTTCTACAGGAATCAGCACAGGGATCAACCTAGAGAGAGTTGTGATTAACCATAGCTTGGAACAGCCACTTGTAGTGTGTCCAAAGTAGACTGGTCAGAGGTATTAATGATCATGAAGTGGCAGGTTGTCAGTTAGAAGTACTGTGGTAAAAACTTGAGTGGTCTCCCCTGAGGGAAAAGATGGGAGAATTTTGGGTTTAATAATGAAATCACTATTGTCATAACATTCTTAAATACAGAAAACGGCCCAATTTGGTGACAAGTGTGCCCTGGACACAGCAAACCTTTGTCTCATCCAGAACTGCTAGGATACAATCAATGCTCCTGTGTAAAATTAAGAATTTTTAAGCCACCTACTTTAAATATTATTTGAGTCTTTCCCATAAATGGAAACAACACCAGACCCCTGTCCTAGCTTACTGGTTCACCTGGTTCCTGGCATCCAAAACTTGAGGAAAAGATTATTTTTCTACCTCTAGTCTTCCAAAAGCTGGACACGCCTTCTAAATTGGTTATCGAGGCCTGTCATTAACAGATGGGGAGAGTGCGCTTCACTGTTGGGGGTGATTTGTTCCCTCCTAAAATAGCTGCCTAAGATAGATCAGTGGCTTCTAGGCTGCTAATTGAAAACAAGATGTATTTTACCTCGACTGTCTTTATTGCAACCAAGTGTGTGTTTTGCAGTGCTCCCGCAATCTAAAATCCTGATGGAGACAACCTTTGATCATTTGTAATCCATGACATACCTTGTATCAAAAGTCGACTTTGACTAATAAGACCACATAATGCAGAGATCATTGCTTTGTTTACGATTTACCTTTCTTGGTAGTTATTTTAAGGAAAGATTTATTTACAAAGACGGATCTGCAGCTCAAGCTGCTTGGACAAGATGCTTCTTCACAAGACTGAGAACTTTGGAGTAAAGACTGGTCTATCAAAATAATTTCCACTGAAAAGCAGAATATTAACTTACCCAAGCTTCAGTTAGAACAGATGAAACATAAAAAAAGACATTGTTACAATGCCTGGAAAGAAGGGGAGGGTGACCTTTGAGAACTCGGAGGTAAATTATTCCAATTTCTTAATCCTGGCACGTCTGATTTTAGAACACAAGCTTTTCTATCCATATTAATTTTTATATTGTGATTGACCATACCTTAAATTTTGGAAGAGCTTGGTTACACGGTGAAAGGACACATGTATGCACACGATTTGCAGATCTTCATGACCTTTCTGTAAAGCAGATGAGACTCTGGGCCGTGGTGTCTTTGTTTCTGGTCACACGAGGTAGCGCTGTGGTGTGTAAACCGTGTCACACGGAGATATCCCTACCAAGTGTACACCTCTTGTCATGGCCTGCTTCTGCATTGTTTCTGTGTGGACAGCAAAAACTTGTCCTGGCTGCTTTTATGCCAAGAAACCAAACCAGTGTCCATATGCTGAAGCCCCTGGTGGTTTGCTTATGTTGGTAACTGCAAAAATGAACCCAAACCAGGATTTTTTGCAGCTGCCGCCTCTCTGAATTGTATCTGTGATGGGCCACAGTCATTCCCATTCCAGATCACCCAATCCGTCTGTTCCAGTAGCTTATCTCCAAAAGTGACCAATGCCAGCTGCTGAAGAAGAGGTAAACTGGACTGCAGTAGATGTTTATGTTGTGATCTGGCCAGGAGGAGAATTTCATCCCTTTCGTTAGATTGATTTAGGTCCTGCAGCATGAAGCTTTATGTTCCCTCCAAAACTTTGAGGTATTTCAGTCTGTTTATTTAATTTCAACATTTATAACTATGGATGTTCAATTTATCTGTGTGGATGTCTCAGCCTTTTTTCTTAATCCAGCCGGGTTCTGTTAAAGCAATAACAAATACTACAGTAAATCAGGATTATGTCCTGAAATGGCAGCAGGGATTCGTTAATAGTGAAACAAAACTGGCATCATCACATCAGATAATGGGATTACCTGTCTCTGACCATATGAGTTGTGATCAGAAACAGAAAAGCAGGACATGTGCGCTATCTACAGGACCTTTTTTAATTGGTTTAAAAAGTATTAGAGAAGAGCTAGCCTAGGGCATAAGCAGCCCGGCGTTGGCCAGGCGTTAGCTCGGTGAGTCTTGGCCAGGTCATTTCCCTGTGGGAGCAGGGACATGGAGAGGGGAGCGGAACAGAAGTAGAAGGCAACTGCCAGGCACCCAGAAAAGACTTTTAGCGTAGGATCCACAGTAGGATCTATATCTACACCGGTAGACATGGCAAGCTTGCGTGTGGTGTGATTTATTCACTTTTTTTTTTTCAGATGGATTTAAGTGTGTTGATATGATAGAAATTTTATCAATTAGGAAAGATCCTCAGTAACCTCCTGACTTCTCTGTTAGTGTTCTTGGGAAAGATGGAAATATGTAACTTATTAAAAATCTGTGATTGTGTAAAACTATGGGGAGTAATAAACAACCTGTAGAGAACAAAAGGAACTCAGAAAGGTTTGGGATTTAGTCGGTAAATAGAATCACATGTGGCAAATGAAATTTAGAACTGAAATTGCTCCCTGATTTTTATTACACGCAGGCTGGCATGGTATAAAACAGAATCGCAAAGTCAGTAAGACTCATTTGAAACCAAAAGGCCTTGAGATGCCTTTGGAGCTTTCATTTTCCTTAACAAGATGGGGAGCATTTGGAAAATATTACAAGGGGCTGTGAAGCTGGAAATGTGTGATGTTCTCCTATGGCAGTCATGCCCATCTAATGCTACGCCCTGGTCATATGTACCAGGGAGCAGCTGTATAGGCCTGTGGTTGCTGCTTTCAGAGAAATCTTCCAGCAAGATGTGTGCAGGTAGAAAATATGAAGCAATTATTTACTAGCTAACACACAAAAAAGATAGCTGAGGCGTATCTAGCAGATAGGCTGAGCACTGGTACTCATCACCTCAGAGAAAGCATCTGAAGAGACTTTCCTGACCAGTCAGGTGTAACTGAGAGAAGGGAGATCAGCCCCTGGACCTGCCTCACTTGGGCTGCTGTTGCTCTCTTCCACCAGTGACGTGAACACCAGCACACAGGTGACCCAGCTGTTGGCCCTCACCCAGTGACTGCTAAACTCACGGTTTTTCCCTTTTTGGATTTCATACCATTTCATGATGCTGTTTTTGCTCTCGAAACCTTGAGCTACCAGTGATCCCTGTCTCAGCAAACTTCTTCCTCTGTCTGCAGTTTTACTTTTCTTTCCTTTCTATAGATTTTCACACAGTTCCTCCACGTGGCTTTGTAGCATCCTTGGCAGTCTGAAGCTGCGGTTGTGGAGCTGGGCTATGTCACAGCTAGCAGCCGAAGAGGCAGTTGGGCCCTTGTGGGGTCAAGAAGAGGGAGCACGGCAAGGCCAGCTCGCCTGCTCCCAAACCTGGGCACTCTTCAGAGGCTGACACAAGCCCAGCATCACCAGCAGGCAGTTTGGATAAACTGCTCTGTTTTGAGGATGAACGAGTTCAATCCCATGGATGTGAGGCACGCTGTGCCAGCTGGTCTCAGTGAGAATGGTCAGGGGCACACTTAATTTTTGAATATATGTTTGGCCACATTTGCCTTTCTCTGCCTTCCTCTGGCAGCAACTGAAAACATGAATTCTCACTACAAGGAGCATATTGAGGTGCTGGAGAGGGCACAGAGGTGGGCTACCAAGCTGGTAAAGGATTTGGAGAATGTGTCGTATGAGGAAAGGCTGAGGGATCTGGGGCTGTTTAGCCTGGAGAAGAGGAGACTGAGGGGAGACCTCATCGCTCCCTCCAACTACCTGACAGGAGGTTGTAGCGAGGCAGGGGTTGGTCTGTTCTCCCTAGTGGCAAGTGATAGGACAAAGGGAAATGGCCTCAAGTTGCACCAGGTTCAGGTTTGATATTAGGAAGGATTTCTTTACTGAAAGGGTTGTCAGCTGTGGGAACAGGCTGCCCAGGTAGGTGGTTGAGTCACCATCCCTGGAGATGTTTAAGAGATGGGTGGATGTTGTGCTGGGGGACATGGTTTAGTGTTGTTGACAGGGCTAGGACAGAGGTTGGACTCTATGATCTTGAAGGTCTCTTCCAAGTGAACCTGTTCTATGATTCTATAATTCTCCTGAAATCAGGGTCTACTGGCAGCGTTAGGTTTACCTGGAGAAGACAGACCTTGTGCACCGATCAGGGCAGCAGGCTCCGGTCACTAACCTGGACACCCAGCAGCCGTGTTCCCTGGCAACTTGGAGACAGTCACCCAGGGTGTGCCTGGGCCTTCTCACGCAGGTCCACAGGCTGGCAGCTCCCAAAGCCTGCAGAGGCTTCTTGAGTTACTTCTGTAATGATCTGGTTTGACAGTAGGCTTTTGGGTGCCTATGGATTACCAGGAAACAGTGAAATGCATTTTATGTAAGGAAATACCAACGTGCTTTACATCGTGTTTAGCTTTTGCTATTGATTCCAGCTGGAGAAAACACAAATCTAAAGAAGCATGAAGAAATGCAGAAGCTACACTGGATCATAGCAGACATCCTGGGAAGCTGCAAATTCAGCTTCTGCTCGAGCCTGCTTTGCTCGCTTCTATTTGCTTCAAGTCTGGAGGGAAAGTCACCCTTGGGTGGTGCTGTGATTCAAGGCTCCTGGGCCAGGGGGAAGTGGACACTCCCCCTGATTCAAAAGAAATTTGAATGCTGACACACAGCCTCCTTTCTCTGGGGATTTGTTATGTATTTTTCTGGTCCGCAAAGGAAAGATTTCATTCAAGTTTGTCAGGGTGGCAGCTTTTGGAGTGCTGGTTCTGGACCAAGCAGTGTGTCCTGAAGCTGTGAAGACTGTGCTTTGCGGTGCCAGTGACTGCTTGATCTTCTCAATGAGAACTGGTGGAGTTACAGGGTAGAACGAATTCCCTCCCACGTAACTGTGTGTCAGCTCCCATTTTCCTTGCCAAGAGTGTGCGGACAGCGTAGTTTTAATTCAGGTTTGAGTGGTGTGAAATCTCCAAGAGCTGCTGATTGATCCGTTGCAGTGCAGTCACGTACTTACTAGGACAGGACTGAGAACAATTTAATTATTTGCCATTAGCTCACTTCCAGACAGTAACCTGTGTGATCACAGCTGACAGACAGCAAAGAGCAAGAGTCATGCTGTTCCCTAGTTGACAGCAGAGCTGGTGGACTCAGGAGGTTCTGTCCGTGCCGTGTACAGCAGGTGGATCCCTGAACACGTTTTACCCATCAGTAAGCTTGCACTGTGCCTACACAGCGATGCCTGTTTATGCCACTTCTTTGGCTTCAGGCAGAGCCAAAAAAATTGCTTTCCTCTAGGGTTTTGGGATACCCGTGATCCTGGCAGCTCTGCTGATTCCTTATAGTATCATTTCCTTCCCAGGGAGGGCCCCAGGACCAGGGGTGGTTTTCAAGCAGGGTGTGACCGGTATTAGACAGAAGATCTGTCCTCATATTTCTGCCCATGACCTGTTTTGACACCGTGACTCACTGCTCTGACAGTCTGTGTGGGTCAGCCGTAATTACCACGGCTCATCTGACTTGGGTTAGCTTTGTCAGTTCTTTCCTGTGGGAGCCGTGACAGTGGTAGCCAGTGTCCCACCGCCCTCCTTAAAATGAAGGGCTGTTTATTAGAACAGAAGCCTGTATTGTTTTAAGAGTTGATGATCCCCTAAGACAGACTTCTCTGCTGCACGGTCTGGCCATGTCCACTGTAGCAGAGCTGTTTTGCCCACAGAGATGCTTTGTGTTGGTGCTCAGCCCTGCAGCAGCACGTGTCAGTTCAAACCTCTCTCCTTGCGGTCGCATCCGTGCCCTTTTGATCTGTTCGCTCCCAGCGCCGGCCAGGCTGGGTCTGCAGGTTGCCAGCATGGTCCCCGTTGTGCTTCGGGTGTGACCCAGAGACCGTCGTCCCAGGAGGGTGTGCTAGGCACAGGGACACAGGGTAGATTTCCTGCTCTCCCAGCCCAGGTCTGACTGGTGCAGGCAGAGAGCTCAGTCTGAGAGGAACGTGGGAGTTGCACATCACTGTCCAGATCGCACGCGGTCACGCAGGCAGACACAAACAGTTATTGGGGTTTTGGTGTTTTTTTGATGTTTAGCTGGGCCACAAACACAGAACAAGGCTCAAAACATATGGATTTTTTAGGGGTATTTTACTGCCTATTCTTCTTTCTGTCTTCCCCTTCATCCTGTCTGGTAACTCCACTTTCCATCTCCAGTTTCCACTCACTGTATTTGAGCTAAGAGCCAAGAGAGGAGCAAGGACTGTCGGTCACCCGTTCTGTCCTGCTCCTGGCTCTCCTGTAAGAACCATGATGAGACCTGGAGCTATATTAACGGTAATGTCAGGGAGATCACCCATGTTGCCACATCTGTAGCCTCGCCAGTTCTTTTTGCAGGCAAGCTCACCTATGGAGTCTTCTAATTTTCCTGTTCTTCAGTGACCTGAGCAAAACCTCTCTGGGAAGAGGCATGAAATGCAAGTTACCAAGTTAATGCAGTCCCAGGCTCCAGCTCTAAATGTCCTTCCTTAATGAAAATTGCCTTGAATTTCAGGTCTGGGAATTTGACTGTGCTGAAGTCTCAGAGCAACTCAGAAGTCTCAGAGCAACTCATTTACTAACCTACTGTTGTCGCCTGTTCAGGGAATTCCCAATGAAAGCTGGAGGTTGACCAAGATAAATGAGCGCTACGAGCTGTGTGATACATACCCTGCCATTCTAGCTGTGCCCGTAAACATTCCTGATGAAGAATTAAAGAGAGTAGCATCTTTCAGATCAAGAGGACGCATACCAGTGAGTGTGACAAAAGAAGCCACTTTGATGTGGTTTTGTTACATACCCATGGGCCATAAATAATACCAAGATCAGACTGAGTGGATTCCGGGGAGCAAATGAATGGTTAATGGATAATAAAAGTGACAGCAACATGTTTGAGGAGTTAGAAAACAACATTATTTGCTGGGACTATTGTTGTGAAAGAGAGAGAGACTAAACCAAAACGAGAAGATAAGATAACAGCCCAACCTAGACTGAATCTCACAAAACAGCCCTATTCGGTTGTTTACAATTGTTGGGCCTGGTCTAACTTTCAGGAGAGAGAAATACTGAGTGATGCTCATGATGAAAACTCTTATTAAATGAAATTAAAACAAAACAAAATGAAATGAAAACAAAACACATTGCTGTGATGATTGTTTTGGTGGTAACTGAAAATATACTGGTTTAATTCTCAAGCCTATAGAAAATTAAATCTCTTTCTAAAATGCCGAATTTTTACATGGTGTAACACAGAGTAAGACACAGCCCAGTGAGTGCAGAGTGAGAAAATGTGTGTGTGACTCAAAACAGTGAAGAAACAGTCTGTGTCATATTTAAAAGTCAGACTTAAACCTATTTTTGCCACCTTTTGTTTGTTCAAACTTTGAGAATACCACAGAACAAATGAGTAAGGATGGAAGAGTTCTTCCTTTCATTCAATCACGATTTAGTAGAATCCAGCTGTCTAGAACCAGCTAATACATAGCAGGATCCCAGAGCAAGCCATTACAGGTAAAACACTTCACTGGCTTGGTAAATCCCGTTTTTCCTTCATTTCTTTCTTATTTGTTTGCAAAGGTGTTGTCATGGATTCACCCAGAAAGTCAAGCAACGATCACTCGCTGTAGCCAGCCAATGGTGGGAGTGAGTGGCAAGCGAAGCAAGGAAGATGAGAAGTACCTTCAAGCCATCATGGATTCTAATGCCCAGTCTCATAAAATCTTCATATTTGATGCAAGACCTAGCGTGAATGCTGTAGCCAATAAGGTCAGATGTTTCTTCCTGTGTCTAAAGCTGGGAATGTAATAATTCAGAGCACATTTTCCACCACCATTTCAAATTGGTTTTGAGGATCACAGAAGGCTTTCCACTGTGAAGGGGATCGTATGCAATGGTCTGATTCTCTAGACAGGCTTTTACACCTGCACTGCTACCTGTAAGATACAGGTGTGACTAGTAAAGGTCCATCGGGATTGCAAGGTGGGGGAAAAAATGTCAAAGTAATACTGAGGTCAAACTCTAGCGCCCTGGATCTTGTGTGTCACCATTTTTCACTTCACAAAACTGGAAGAACAGCAGCCCTCTGTCCCTGTTAACCCTGATGCAGCACAAGATACTCAGCACTTCTGAAAATCGTGATCTTTAATTTCACAATATGAGCCGGGGTTCTTTAATGTCTAGGAATGTTACTGGGTTCTTTCTGCTGTTAGAGAATCACGGAATAGTTTGGGTTGGAAGGGACCTTCAAAAGCCATCTAATCCAACCCCCCTGCAATGAACAGGGACGTCTTCATCTGGATCAGGTTGCTCAGAGCCCCATCCAGCCTGACCTTGAACCTTTCCAGGGGCTGGAACATCTACAGCTTGGCTGGGCAACCTGTGCCAGTCTTTGACCACCCTCAAAGTAAAATCCTCTGAGTGCAACCACCCAACCAATTCCTTACCCACCAGACAGTCCACCTGTCAAATCCGTATCTCTCCAATTTAGAGAGAAGGGTGTTGCAGGGGACCACATCAAAGGCCTTGCAAAAGTCCAGATAGACAACATCTGTAGTTCTTCCCTTGCCACTCCGTCATAGAAAGCCACTAGGTTGACCAGGCAGGACTTGCCCTTGGTGAAGCTTTCTCCTCCACTTGCCTTAGCAGAGCTTCTAGGAGGATCTATGCCATGATCTTCCCAGGCACAGAGGTGGGGTTGATGGGTCGGTAGTTCCCAGGGCTCTTCTTTCTATGCTTTTTAAAATTATGTCTTATACTATCACTGTAAGCCCTGTTTTAATGGTAGAACTGCGTTGTTGCACTGGAGCTGATTTTTTTTTTTTTTTTAAATCTGCCTCTCCCACTACTTAGGAAAGGCAATTAGTGTGTGGGATATACTCCTCTATAATAGTATGGTAAATTTGTAAATGACAGAATAGGGAATCTAATGAGCTAGCAGCTTGAATGGGTATAAATGATAATTACAGGGAAAAAGAAGGATTGTAATGTGATATTCTGTGGTAAAAAACATAGCTTTCATTAACTGTTGCAGGAAAGAGACACAGAGTATATGGATGGACATGTTTGCACCCAATTTTAAGATAAATCCAATGTTTTCTGCCTGCTTTAGATAGCACAATCACAGCAGTATTTTGTCAGCTGATATTTGCTCGAATCGGGTGAGGTGTAAAATATGTTTCTGCCTAATGGTTTACATGTGGATTTTGTTCTTTAGGCTAAAGGAGGGGGCTATGAGAGCGAGGATGCCTATCAGAATGCAGAATTGGTGTTCCTGGACATTCACAATATTCATGTCATGAGAGAGTCGCTGAGAAAACTGAAAGAAATTGTATATCCCAATATTGAGGAGACTCACTGGCTGTCTAATTTAGAGTCCACTCACTGGCTAGAGCATGTCAAGGTATGCACGTCTGCGCCCACTGGATGGGGCCAAGTAACCACAAGTCATTCCAGTCTGCTCACTGGGAAATGTATCCAGAGCTAACTCTGGTGCTGGGTTTTCAATTAATGTGAAATTTGAAGACTTACAGTTTGTTTTCAATTTATAAACAACTAAACCTACAGTTTCGTGGAATGGAGAGTTTTGAGGAGATGGGAGGGACAAGAGAGGGAGTTGAAATACTGAAAGATGGGTTTTTGGAAGCAAAGTGTGTTCCTGAGTAATGCCTAACAGTGAAAGCCCTGATCGGGGCACAGGAGTCACAGTTTCCAAGCTCTTCACTCGGGGATCCTCGATGTCCTGGCGTTACTGCCTGGTCCAGACCAGCAAATGTTGGGAGCTCATGCCTCATCAGCCTTTTGGGAATCCAAGTAGAGTCAGAGGGAGTGGGGCAAAATGTTTCAGCTTCTACAGATACTGATTCTCAGATTAAACTCTTTCTCTCCTAAAAATGTCCATCTTACACTGTTGACCTGCTAATGCCGACAGGGACAAACCTGCTTCTGGGGCAGTTGCAAGGCGATGGCCAGTTTGTGTTTGTGTTCAGACACAGAATGCTTCTGCGTTTCAATCGTGACCTGTCGAAGGACTTAGCTAGCTCTAGAATTGTGCCTACACCACAGTTAAGACATGTTGTCATCTTACTGGAACAAAAACCAGTGATCAACAATTCCCCGTCCTAGTTCTAAAGTAATGGGACTGATTTACCATTCTCCTTGAGGCAGACAGAGTCCTTGGTTTGTCCTCTGCTGTCACTAGTCATTTTTCATTTATAGTTTCTGTTCCAAAGAGATTGTGCAACTTTTTTTTTTTCTTTTTCCCCCTTGTCCTAGCTCATTCTTGCTGGAGCCCTTCGGATCGCTGACAAGGTGGAGTCAGGGAAGACGTCTGTGGTTGTGCACTGCAGCGATGGCTGGGACCGGACAGCCCAGCTCACCTCTCTCTCTCTGCTCATGCTAGATGGCTACTACCGAACTATCAGGGGCTTTGAAGTGCTCGTGGAGAAGGAGTGGCTGAGCTTCGGCCACAGATTTCAGCTGGTGAGTCACTGGCCCTTGGAAGGCACTGAACACAAACTTATTGTCCACCTTGAAGGATTTCCAAGGAGTTTAGCCTTTCCTGTGAGACGTCTCCCACCTGAACTTGCAGAAGAAAGGTGAATGCTGCTGCTGTTGTTTTCTGCCTGTAATTCCAGTCATCTCTTAACTGCCTTGGAGACAGCTTTGGTTAGGCAGGAGGAACAGGTGGTATTAAAACTCTTGGGTGCCTTACTAATACGCTGCTTAAATTAACGGTGTGCTTTGGATTCACAATAGGCATTGCTGCTGGGAGTTAGCAGGGACCACTGGGGTATTTTTTGTCTGTCTTTCCAGTTCAGTCCATTTTCTGAGACTGCTTGGACACCGTCATCTAGCGAATGCCTTAGTATTAAAGGGGCTGGGGAATCTGCTTATGGCCTTGACCTCATGGTTTCTGCAGGCACGTATTATTTTTGAAGAGGCTTTTAATGGTCTAGGTAAAAGATCAGCAGATTGAGACTGGACCAAGAGTACCTCATGGTTGTGTCCCTAGAGTTGCCAGAGAGGCAGCTTTATAGACCTGTGACACAGCAGTTTGCCCTGATGGGAATCAAGAGCGTCTTTCAGTAGTGTCCTTTCAGGCTTTGTTCCTGTTGTGTTTTGCTTGTGACTCTTCTCTTGTGGTGGTTTAATTCTGGCAAGGGCTCGAACAAGGTCTGTTTACTGCACAGGAGATGCTGGGTTGTGTAGTCAAATGCTCTGAGGAAGGCGGCGAAACTGAGGTACTAAGCAACTGAGGTTCTGCCACAGCTAAACTGTCCCTGGTGTTTTACAAATGAGTATTTTGGCTTCCCTGTCCGTACAAAGACAAATTTCCTTTGAGGGGAGAATGCTATTACAGAAGAGGTAGGGGTTGCTATTACTTACTGGTTCTAGTTCTGTGTTTGTACCATACTTAGGGCTCCTGGGCAATCTAAAACCACTGAGGTACTACACTAGTTATAAGGAATCAGGCCTCACATGCCTTGGCCACACAGCACAGTCGAGGTTGGAGGCCAACTTCTGGGGATACTTTCATCACTGCCTCTCGTGAGGTGGCAGGAGACGGGCTGGGTTAGTGTTTGTACAGCACTTGGAAGCTGCGAGGTGTTGTGTGACGGTTATCGCCGCCCGCCGTGCCTGTAGGTAGTGTTTAGATCTCGCACGCTGTACTACTGAAGTAGCCAGGGCGACAGCTGCAACTGAAGCAAAAAGCATTCTCGGTGGTTTTTTTTTTTTTCCCCTCCCCTTCTGAACTTTAGCTCTTAACTGAAATCAGTGCCAGCATAGCATCTGGAGACTCGACTCAAGCAGCTCTTGTTTTAACTTAGCGTGGAAATAACCCCATAAAGAAACTTCGCTTCAAAGACAAAGGGAGTAACTGTCCTTTACTCCTTTACCACTGTAAAGGACAAAGCAAAATCAAGACTCATTTGAACCTTCTTAAAGCTGCTGGTAAAGGCTCGGGTGACTGAGAGGGGACCCCAGCAGTTTCCCAGTGAAGCCCAGTGGGACTCATGTTCTTTGTTCTACTGTTTCAGAGAGTTGGCCACGGAGATAAGAACCATGCAGACGCAGATCGCTCTCCTGTCTTCCTCCAGTTCATCGACTGCGTCTGGCAAATGACAAGACAGGTAAATCGCTGGGTGGCACACGTGTCCACGAAGCCAGTGTACTGAGGCGTGGCACAGTGTCTGGCCACAGGAGTAATTTCCACACTCACCTGCACAGGGTCTCTTCCTGGGCTTCTGCTCTTTTCTTGACTCTTGCAACAAGTTTCCCGGGAGTCTGTTTAGCAAAGAGCCCGAGTGCGCAAGTGTGCAGAAAGGCCACGATGTTGGTTTGTGTCAGATTAGGTAGTTAGTGGGTGCTGCTTACCTACATGCTGCTATAATAAATGTGAGCTTGTGAGAAGCAGCTCGCCTTACCCTGAAGGGACAGCTGCCCCTTGGGGCAGGGACAGACACCCCAGCCATCCTAGGTGCCTTCAGAAGCATAAGTGACTTGAGCTGTTAATGTAATTAGGTCATTAGGAGCAGTCAACATGGTTTTACCAAGGGGAAGTCATGTTTGCCCAACCCGATAGCCTTTTATGAGGACATAACCATGTGGATAGATGATGGCCATACAGTGGACGTGGTTTATCTGGATTTCAGTAAAGCATTTGACACTGTCTCATACAGCATCCTTGTAGCTAAACTGAGGAAGTGGGGTCTGGATGACCAAGTAGTGAGGTGGGTTGTGAACTGGTTGAAGGAAGTCCAAGAGTCACTGTGAGGGTGACAGAGCCCTGGCACAGGCTGCCCAGGGAGGGTGTGGAGTCTCCTTCTCTGGAGACTTTCAAAACCCATCTGGATGCCTTCCTGTGTGACCTACTGTAGGTGATCCTGCTCTGGCAGGGGGGGTTGGACTAGATGATCTTCTGAGGTCCCTTCTAACCCCTGACATTCTTTGTGATTCTGTGTAAGTCTCTGTTGTGGTGGGCATTGCCTCTGCTCAAGCTGATTCTGTAACTAAACCTGCAGCAAGACATGTATTTGCTCCATTTTAACTTGAAGGCAAACATACTGCTTCTCATTCCAATGGGATATACAGAGCTAAGTTCCTCACTTCAAACCAGGCATGGCAGAGGCACAGCTCAGGAGACATACCCTATGGTTGGGAGGTTTCTCCCCAGGTATGTGGGACCTGATAGGTTTTTTGTGTCTGCTGTGACACAGAAGTGTCACATTGCAAATGTCAGTAGAGGTCACTTAGTTCACTGAAAAAAATTAGGCTCATCATGGATTAAAACAGGTGAAATGGAAAAGAAGAACGCCGCTGAACATTAAGCTGTACTGAATCCAAGCAGGGAAGGAGAGAGGTTGCACAATCATCAAGAGTCACTCTCATCTGCTCTCTTTGGCTTGCTTCTACAAGCAGGCATCCCAACCTGCAGCTGCTGAGGTCAGGATGTTGCAGCCAGGGCAGCCTGGGAAGAACAGGGTGGTTGGTGACAGGAAGTCCTCCCGCTCTCCTCTCCATCACCCCAAGCACGTCTTTGCAATTCATTGCATGTGTTCTTCCTGATCCTGTGCGGAGCCTCAGCTCTCCCTGTCTCAGGCTTGGTTGTTTCTGCAGGAAACAAACATCCATAGGTAACATAGCCCCTTCCCAGACTCCTGTTCCTCTCGCCAGCATGTGTTGCAAAGATGCCTCCCTGCTGTTGCCCCTGGGAAGTGCTGTGCTTCACACCCTGCTTATTTCCATTTGGCCCTGGGAAATTGCCATTTCTTCTTCTGCATTATTTCACATGTGCTTCAGCCTTTTGTTCGCAGTTTCATCGCGTGGTGTGTTGTGAGGGGCGGGCGTAGCAGAGCCAGCTTCAGTGTGGAGCAGCACTGAGTGTGTATAAACACAGCGGTCAAACCCTTCAGACCTCTGGCTTTTGCTCAGAATTCCTCCCTGCACATGTAAAGCAGCTTTCCAAGACAGAAACTCTGGCTTCTGGAAGGAGTAAATACGATCCTGAATATCCAGCCAGGCAGGGAACAGGGACAAATCCTGGTTTAGAAATTAGGAGAGGCCAACTCCTTACCAAGATCACAGAGTGGGAGAACACTTATTTGTGATTCCTGTTCTTAAAATCCCAGCCTAATTTTCTGGTTGTGTTTGAAGTTTCCTACAGCATTTGAGTTCAACGAGTACTTCCTGATAACCATCCTGGATCATCTGTACAGTTGTTTGTTCGGGACCTTCCTGTGCAGCAGTGAGCAGCAGAGAGTCAAGGAGGTAAGGCTGCTTCCCTCCAAGGTGAATGCCTGGAACGGGATTGCTCTAGCTCTCTGGGTACTGCTAGAGAAATTGTTTCAACGCTCAAAGGTAGTGGTGGATGCAGGTCTGGATCATGCCAAGCCCCCTTCTTAACCGCTGGGACACAGGGTACTGCCCTCTTCACACAAACCGCTGTCTGTTGGAGGCTTGACATTGTGGAGCAATGCCACCTCTGGACAGTCCTGCTGCTTTCAGCTACTCCCTGGTGGCTGAATAGCTCCTGGTGTCTCCCACATAGTTGGCAAAGCGGTTTTTCTTTGAACTTCAGTTTAATGTAACCTTCTCTGTGGAAGCTGGTACCTTTTTGTCCTCCCTTCTCCTTGAAGTTGTCCCATGAGGTTCCTTTTAACTGCCAAGTGTGCGTTGTCATTCTGCACACATAGGTTACGACAAGTAACTGATCTCAAGGTGTGCTCCTGCTGTTCTTCCTTTTTTGCGGGAGAGGACAGAGCTACTGATACTAGGAAGGACGTGCCTCTAGGTCCTGCCACCAGCCAGGTCTGCCCTGCAGTCTGGTCAAGGTGTGTTTGTCAAGTGTGGAGCGTGTAGATGTGGACATTCAGACCCGGTCTGGAATTGGCAGGAAAAGCAGTGACACTCGTTCTGTCTCACCTACCTAAAGATGAAGCGTTTTGTCATCAAAATTGGCCACAGCCTAAATCAGAGGCATGCAGAGGGCAGTGCTCTGTGGACCTGATGTGATTATATTTGATAGTATATGAGTTAAAAAACATAAATAAAATGTACTGTAATACAGTGCAATACTGTAGTAAATCAGTGTCCCTGTTTCTCTAGAGTCTGCTGTGATCAAATAATTGTAATTTCCAGAGAAGAAAACCCACATGCTGTTTGCATGTGGGTTTGGGTGTTTGTTTTTTTATTCATTTTTAAGGTCTCAGCCTAGCAAAGTACTTAATCTAGAAAGCACTTCAACGCTAGTTTCGCTGGGACTATTCACAGGTGTAATTATTCCACTAGATCGGGGCCTAAGTCAAATGTTTTCTTTTTCTCTTTGCAATTAAATACTCTAGCAAGTCCTCCAGGAGCACTTTAAAGAGGTGAGGTTTAACTAAAGCGTTGGGAGCTCACGTGCTAGTGTCCCCTTGCTGTGCTGATGGAGATTCCTGGTCTGCGTTGGCAGCTGGGTGGGTAAGAGGAGGTGTTTCCGTGCCAGGCTGGGGATGTGCCTGCCTGCATCCACGTGCTTTGATTACAGTAACCACATCAAAAGAACATCGGTGGTGGTTTTTTTAAGCTACAAAAAGAGAACCAGCTCTGTATTAACAACAGGCATATGTATGTGCCGTTACACTTTGTAGATAAATGCTGGGATTTGTATGGGAAATAAAGTCTCTCTCACCCCCTTCCTTTACAGAGCCTTCCAAAAAGGACCGTATCACTTTGGTCGTACATCAACAGCCAGCTGGAAGACTTTACCAACCCCTTGTATGTGAGCTACTCCAACCACGTCCTCTATCCCGTGGCCAGCATGCGCCATCTCGAGCTGTGGGTCGGCTACTACATCCGCTGGAACCCCCGCATGAAACCACAGGTACCTCTGGATCCTGCTTTTATGTCCCTCTCTGACAGTACTAGTGCTGTCATAGAACCATGGAATAGTTTCAGCTGGAAGAGACCTTGAAGATCATCGAGTCCAGCCTTTGTCCCAGCCCTGTCAACCAGCTAAACGATGCCCCCTAATACAACATCCACCCGTCTCTTAAACACCTCCAGGGATGGTGACTCAACCACCTCCCTGGGCAGCCTGTTCCAGTGGCTGACAACCCTTTCAGTAAAGAAATTCTTCAAGACCTTCGAAGCACAAGAAGTAATGTGCAAACTTACACTGCCACTGCTTAAATCTAAAATCAAAAATCTACAGCTGGCTGATGCAGGTGCTCGGCTGGAGGTCGCTGCCTTGTGAGATGGAACAGTTCATCCTGGGGATGATCACAC